AATATGGTTTTAGCAAGTTAACATGACAGACTTTAACTGATTTTCTCTTATTTGGCAACTCAACCAGGTAGTTTTGGTCCGAAACACGACGGACAACATTACAGGGACCAAAGAACTTAGCCTGGAAAGGAGATTTAGTCAATGGTTGTAAAACCAACACCTGGTCACCTGCACAGAACTCACGTCGCTCTACTTTGCGGTCAAAGAGCCGCTTCATTTTCTTTTGAGCCCTCTGCAAATTTTGTTTTGCCAATTCCCCAGCCTCATAAAGCCTATGCCGAAACCCGTTCAAAAAATGAAATTAGATTTTTCGGGGGGTCAGATGTAACCCACTGGTCACGAATCATGGACAAGGGACCACGAACGGTATGAGCAAAGACAAGCTCATTGGGACTGAAGCCTGTACTCTCTTGCACAATTTCTCTGGCTGCCAACAAAAGCCATGGCAAGCCCTCCTGCCAGTCCGCTTTTATCTCAGTGCAATAAGCACGCAGCAATGATTTCAAATGCTGGTCAAAGTGCTCAAGTGCCCCTTGACTTTGTGGATGATATGCTGAGGAAATATTGTGAGTTATATTAAGTCGTCAAAGAACCTGGGAGAACAATCGAGAGGTAAAATTTGACCCTTGGTCTGTTTGTATAACTTTGGGAATGCCGAATACAGATATGAAATCACTGATAGCCTTCACAACAGACTTTGTAGTGATAGACCGCATTGGTTAAGCAGCGGGATATCTGGTGGACTGACACATTATTGTTAACTAAGAAGAACCCACTCTAGACCGAGGAAGAGGTCCAACACAGTCAACTATCAGATGATCAAAAGGCTGACTCATGGCCGGAATCGGATATAAAGGAGCTGGTTTCAGAAGTTGATTTGGTTTGCTGGTAACCTGACAAGTATGACATGTTTTAATGTATTTGGAGATGTCATGTTTTACACAGGGCCAGAAGAAATGCTGTAGCACCCGATGATAGGTCTTTTTTACCCCCATATGACCTGCAATATTGTCATGTGCAGTCTTAATCACTGACGTTCGAAATTTTTCAGGCAGTACCACCTGCACAATGGGATCCCCACTAAACCCATCATCATGAGGAGCCCAAACCCTCAACAGCAAGTCATCCTGGAGTACATAACCCTGTCTGATGTTCCCCACCTGACATGAAGGCACCACCAACTCATATAGGTCTTTCATGGATGGATCCTTTTTCTGTTGTTGCACCAGGTCTGCACAAGAAATACAAAGGTCATTTGGCACAGCAAAGACAAACTTTTTTTGCTTTGTCTATAGTTACCTCACTGTCAAGTGACAGTGCAGCCATGGCACGGGTTACAGCACACACAGCAGATGGCACTGTCTCCACCTCATTTGCCTGCTCTGTCACACCTACTTGTGCCACTGCTTGACATGGTGCAGTGCCCTCTAAAGGATTTAAAGAGGAACAACATGGGAGATCCGTTTGCTCTGGTTGCATTGACACTGGAGATGTAACCACACCCCCTGGAGGAGCTGCAAAGGGAGGACGTGCCAACTGTTGTTCAGCCTGTACTGAATCTTGAGTTTTTTTGGTCAATATAGGTCTTACATCATCCGGCCACATACGACCATCGGGGACCAAATCATTACCCAAGATTATGTCAACTCCCTTCACTGGAAGTTTGGCCCGCACAGCAACTTCCACCTCCTTCTGAAAGAAACCACAAGACAAAAACATGTTATGCACCGGAAGAAAAAGGGTTTGAAGCGCCAAACCTCTACAAGGTACACAACCCCCTGTGTCTGACTGTGGAGAAAAAGGCAAAATGGCCTCTCTTACAATAGTGTGCATCGCTCCTGAATCTCTCAACACTTACTTCATTTTCATCTCTTGTTCATGTTCCAATTTCAACAATAACGATTCCTTTTGCTGTTCAAAAGTCAACCCAGGCACACAAGTATTAAAATCACTCTTACCATCCTCAGCCGTCAGGACTCCTTCCTCTTGCACATTTGCTTTCACAATTCTCTTGATGGTTTCTTTTGTGCGTCTGGCATCCACGACTACTATGTAGTGTTGTGCTAGTTTGAGCAGCTGTTCCTTCGTACATTGCTCCAGTAACCCACATGACAGAGACTTAATAAAGGCATCTACAGTGGTAGCCATACCTAAACCAAATCTAGTAATCTAGATAACTCAAATGGAGATGAATAAACAAGTGGCTTCAAACACTGGGTGTCCCCTACTAACTGCCTAACCAGAAACTAGATACACTCAACCCTAGTCTTCAGTGGCATTGCTGAGTTCGCCAAGGGCCATCTCAGGGTACCACCCAAAACAGTAAAGGCAAAAAAAAACTGCAGCAGCCCCTCTATTAGCGACTGCTGCTACACCTAACAGAGGACAACACCACTGAGAACATTGCCACAATTTACACTTAACAGTTTATCTCCAAACTAGATGGACCTGAACAAAACTAAATCTCTGCATCTACTAAATGCCATGTGTAAATCTCCACAAAAACACATCAGTACAAACTAACATTAGTTTTGGACGAGCCCACATTTTGTCACGTTCCATGCTCAGGGAACAGGACAAAAAGTTGGAGACCACACGCTGCATTACTTTTAACAAAGAAATTTATTAATTAACTTAGAAAAAATAGAATCAAAATCATTTGGAAGTGTTGCATGGATGTGTGTTTGCAAGTAAGGTGGAAAAATGTGTGTATGTCTATGTATGTGTAAGAACCTGAGAATCAAAAAGCCACAAACCACTAAAAAGAAGAAAAGGAGGCCTCAAACAACCCCCACAGCATGTGCTGGAGGTCAAACCAGGAAGGAGTGCAGAGAGAGACTGCCTGCACAGAGCTGAGCCTTTCTGCTCAGGCCTGCTGGCCACACCCACACCAAGCCAGGACTCAACATGATGAGCAGGCAGCATCAGGACACGGAGGGTTGTCCTCCCTCCGTCACAGATGGGCTCATTGGAAGTGCAGTGTCAGGTCTCTTCGGCCAGCGATCAGTACTCTGTTTAAGGAAGGGAGGCCACTGACTCCAACGACCAGGCTCAACCAGAGATAAGTGTGGTTTGCCCCGAATTATAACGTCGGCTGGGTTACTCTGCATGTCAACATAATGCCAAGCTCGCCTATCTGACAATTCCTGGATTTCCATCATCCAGGTTCCTACAAATACCTTAAAATGGCAGGAATCTTATCGGAGCCACTCCAGGACTGTCATGGACTCGGTCCACCGGATTGTCTGGCAAAGGGTAAGTGTCATCTCTGTCTCCACAAGCTTGGCCAGCTGAGCTCTAGCTAGTGCAGCACATAGCTCCAGGCAGGGGATAGACTGCTGTCTTCTAGGGGCAACTCTCGACCTAGTATGTGTGGGTCATGCCCTCCTTCTGCACCACCAGGTAAACAACTGCGTCATAAACCCATTCTGATGTGTGGAGGTCATATTCCAGATCTGCATCATCAGCGAGAGCAGGTAGGTAGCAGCGTGGGATGGATATTGTACTGAGATGGTCCAGCTCGGACTCCCAGGCCCTCCAAGCATCTTGTAGTACCACAGGCAAATCAGGATCGTCCCAGTTCCTCTTCTTAGACCACAGCTGTTGGATGAGAACCTTAGCCCGGATCATATATGGAAATAAGAATCCCAAAGGATCATACTGACTGGCTAATACTTGGTAGGCCGTTCTCATTGTCAGTGTTGTATGCTCAATGGGCCAGTGATGATAGCCAAGAGTGTCCACTGCAAAGTTCCACCTGAGGCCTAGAGTAGGCTCCATTGGGTTTGTTCGGTTCTGAGCTAGCCACTGTTCTGTAGCGGCGGACTTTGCTTCTGTAGGCAGATGCTGCCATTCGTAGACATCAGGTGGGTCCTCACAGCGCAGGTCTCTCCAGATGAAGTGAAGTAAGGATCTGTCCTCAGGCAGCAGATGGATCTGGTGAAACATTCCCCCAACATCCCCACTGATAGCGACCTGTTGCAGCTGTTTATTCCGCGACATGCCTTGGTGCCTGAAGGAACAGCTGAAGACCAGTCTTGGTTTACCATTATGGTGTACTAAGTGGTGAGGTAGGTACCAAGACTCCTCTGACTGGTCTACCTCCACAGGCTGTAGCTTGGTGACATATCCTGCTTGAGTAAGCTTATCGATCAAATGGAGGGTTTATCAAACCATCCTGGGCTACACCGTGGAGGACTTGGAGGTGGATGCCACCACAGTCACTGCAGGGTTTCATAAGGTTGCAGGTCTCAGGTACATGAGAACGGGCACATTTCCAGCAACGCTTTCCTTCTGTGATCCATTTGTCCAGATCCTTTTTTGGTTGTTCTTTAATGCAGTTGCAGCAAGTAATATAGTTCTCTTTGCTGTTACAGAAACAGTGCACCTTTGGTGGCTTCTTCGGTCTGACCTGTATGGATGAGCCAGGTACCTGGGGCTCTGTAGGCTCTGCACTACGGTAGACGTTTGCACTTTTGGTCTTAACTGAAGCTTTATCCTTACCACCACCACTGCTTGAAGATTTCTCTTGTTGGTAGCGCTGTGCCAACCAATTAGACAGTCGCTGCTGTTGGGCTTTGGCTTGGAGCCATCCAGCGAAAGTCCGGCAGGTTATAGGGGTTGAGACTTGTCGAGTTGAGCTTCCCCTGCAGCTGCAGGGACTCATTAACCTTTTATGACCTACCACAGAACAAGTCCGCCAGAGCATATCTTTACAATTTTACCTGCTGTAGGGCCATTTTTTGGAGTATTTTAATATGCTATACATCAATACAGCCCTTACATCCCAAATTTTAATAATATGTGTGGACATATGTACATACTAATGAAGGAAATTGCTAAAAAGTGCAATAAACCACAAAAAATATGAAAATCGTTTTTGTTTTTACACATTTTTCCAAAAAGGAGAAATATCATGGCTGTATCCCTCAAAATTGTAAAGGTAAAAAAAGTTGCACAAAATCCTTTCAAACCACAGAAAATTTATTTTGAGTGTTTTCATAACTTAATTTTTGAGATACACTCATTTTTATAAAATGTGACAAAAACGAAAGTTAAATGCAAGTTTTGCACAATTTGCAAAAATACAACATGTACATCAAAACTATTTACAATAGAACAACCAGAGTTCCAAGTTCAAAGTCAAACATTACTTTTCAATAGCACCAGGGGAGCTGTGATAGGTCTTGTGACAGTTCCTGTCCACGATGAGCAGTATTTTTTGCTGCATTTTTATTGGTGTTGGCACACAGCGTTTTGATGGCAGCCCTGTGAAAGTACATCCTGAACAGCTCAGATGGAGAGGGATTATCCACATACTGTGATAGAGGTGGCTGCACACCTGGCCTCCTTTTGGGCAGAAAATGTGGTAGGGGATGTGGCAAGATGTCAGGCTCCTTTTTGGTTCTCCAGCCAGCTGCATCACCAGGGAGTGTCTCTGACCTGGAGCCTCTGTTTGCTGGAGACCGACTCCTTCCTCGTCCTCTGCCTCCCTTCGGGGTGCAGGGCGAGGAGACCCCCACTTCCTCCTCTTCATCATCATCATCAACTCTGCACACCGATGTTACACAGTGTGTTAGATGTGTTCAATATGAGAGTAATACAATAATGGTGCGTATTTAGTGCAACATGCTTTCAGTTGTGTTACATATATACTTTATTTACTTTTCTCTAACTCAAAAACAAACAATATTTCACGAATGTTCTCTGACCTGGAGCCTCTGTTTGCTGGAGGCAGACTGCTTCCTCCCCTCCTTCCTCTCCCTCTGCCTCCCTCCTGCCCAGATAGCACACATACATCTGGCTGACGTCGGCCTGAGGACGACACATCGGCCCTGAATTTATAGCGTCTGACAAGCGTCGGCCGCATGGGCGGATATCTTTAAATTTAATACTCTTTTGTCCCAGCTCATCAAACGTCTCTGTTACGTCGGCTTTGGGTTGGCCCATACCTGCCCACATACAGAAGTCGCCACAGAGGTGGAATTTCATCTCCGCGGTGTTTGTTTGGAACTGAGCTTGCAGGACACAGCATCTCATCGCAGTTGGTTTCAGGTAAGCTTACTGGAATAAATTGGCAGAAAATAGCTATGTTGTTTCTTCTGTGACCGTTAAAAGAGGTTCCTGGTGAGTGGCGAGGCACGACTGGGTGTATATAGCTTAGCACAGGTCCCCACCAGCTAACGTTATCTTTTGTTAGCTGTTAGCTAGTTTAGCGGTTTAGCTCATGTTAGCTAACAGGCTACAACTGTGGTGTTTTCATTTTATTTTCCCTAGCTGACGTTATCTGCTCATCTGGTTATCGTGAGCACTCGTTTTGGGTTAAAGTGGAAGTGCCCGGAGCTGCCACCCGTGGTCCCGTGGCCCCCCTGCCCAACCTCCGGAGCCCTGGACGGATGCTCAAGTGTGCGTGAGAGGAGCGGAGAGGAGCGGAGAGGAGTGCAGAGGTAAGGCGGGGCGGGCCGACACTGTGTATCCCAGAACGGGTGCTCAAGTGTGGGTGACAGGAGCGGAGAGGAGCGCGAAGGTCAAGTAGTGAAGTTTAAGGATGCCTTCGGTATGTTGGTAATGTTATTTTATGGGCAATTTATCAGTCGAGGTCTCCTCCTCTGCAAAGCAAACTGACCCGGTGGCTACAGGTAATATCGCAGTTTTGAAACCACTGTTTTTCCGAGATGAAGGACTGATTGTTGAGCTGCTGTTAACAGTTAAAGGAGTTAACGCCGGATCCCATTATTTAACAGTTTCAACACTAAATTAAGCAGAGTGACAGACCCAAAGCCTTCAATCTGGCTAAAAGACAGCTGAAATGCTAAAAAGAGAAGATACAGTGGTGAAGTTGGGATTTGTTTCTTGAAGTTATGTGCTCATCATCTTTTTTTTATCTTGCAGGCTGCCAGGAGAAGCGGACTGGCCATCAGATATTGTTTGTGGAAATTTGAAAATAAAGTTTGTCAAATTGACTTTTGTCTCTTCATTGTGCACACTTACACATGAAAAGGGTAGCAGTCAGCTATTTTTGAATGTTAGCATTGATTTCTCACATTGAATGGTGAAATATTTGTAGTTTGAAAGGTCCGACCTAAATGAATAAAGGTCGTAGTTAACGAAGCATATGAATATTAATGAAGGAGCGCCCACTGAGCGCAGCTTCTTTTATTGATCGTTTGAACGCCGCGTGGTGATCATTTTCAATTAAAGGCCGACGTCTCAGCGACGTCTTGGCAATGAGCAAACGCTCTCCCTGCTACGTCTTAATGATCTAAACTTGACACATTGGGCCGACGTCGGACAGATGTATGTGTGCTATCTGGGTGGATAGAGGACGAGGAGATCCCCACTTCCTCCTCCTCATCATCGTCAACTCTGCACACAGAAGTTACACAGTGTGTTAGATGTGTTCAACATGAGAGTAATACAATAGTGATGCGTATTTAGTGCAAAATGCTTTCAGTTGTGTTACATATATATATTTTTTTACTTTAACTCAAAAACAAACAATATTTCATGAATATATACATACATGTCATAGGAAGGATCTCTCCCTTCGATGAGGTCAGCTTCATCTCCACTGTCGGCAGAATCCGGACTGGATGAGTGGACTGAATCTTCATTCGACGCTGTAATTGGGGCGGCAGTAGCTCAGTCCATAGGGACTTGGGTTGGGAACCGGAGGGTCGCCTGTTCGAGTCCCCTTCCGGACCAAAATATGGAGTGTGGACTGGTGGCTGGAGAGGGGCCAGTTCACCTCCTGGGCACTGCCGAGGTGCCCTTGAGCAAGCCCCCTTACTCTGACATCTCTCCACTTTGTGCATGCATAGGTCCCGTTTGTGCATGTGTGTCTTTTGGACCTGTTTGCAATTGACAAGCAAGAGTGAAAACATTGAATTTCTCCTCAGGGGGATTAATAATGTAAATAAACTTAACTTAATTAGTTCGTAAGCTTTGCGCTGGGAAAAAAGCCGTTTAGCGCATCCGGGTTGTTGCGGTTCCATAAATAAATGTGTGCGAGTGTGTGGTGAGTGTCTGGTGTGTGTGTGTGTGGTGAGTGTCTGTGTGTGTGTCTAAGTGTTGTTGTGAAAGAGTAAAATACAAAACGAGAGCGAGAGCAAGTGTGTGACTGCAAGCTTAGAGAAATATTTACTGCGGAAGAAAAAAAGAAATTTCCCGGGAAATGAAGTCACTCTGGGACATGATGAATGCATGGTATGTTAGTGTATCTCCTCTGGTTTTAAATGCAAAAAGAATTATTGCTCTATCTTATTTGGTTGCAATTCTACCGGCATTTAAAAATCAATATGCAAATGGAATCGCGGGCGCTCCCGCCGGTAGGAAGAAGTCCAAATCCATCTCTGAGATACTTGCTGAGCAGACGGTCAATGTGTGAGCAGCAATTAAGCTCAATGCCTTGAGGTTCCTCCAGAGAAAGCGGCATGCTAACTAGAAGGTGGGCCCGTAGGGAGAAGCTCTAGAAGCTATGGGAATCATTGGCTTTCATATCAGGGGTGTGCTATTTCACTCTGTGCCAGCTGGTGTGGCTGGTCATACCACACCTGTAGAGCCCGCATAGCTGCGGAGTACGGGTATGGATGGTGATGGCAGGACTGGCCGATCATCTGGGCCTCTGTCAGTTTAAGATGTTCCAGTAGTACGTGATACTTATACCTCTCCAGGGTTCAATGCTAAGGTTTTTTTTTCACTTGCCCGGTTGGGCAAGTTGGTCAGAGATCTACTTGCCCGAAGTCAGTTTTTACTTGCCCTACAAAAATTGTTTAATTTAAGCAGCTATCAAATAACAAAGACTGCAGTTATTTTTATGTTATGTAATCTTTATTCACACTGTATTTATTAATTAAAACAACATATGTCATGTATTGTAGCTTAATTCCTACACAAAAATGACAGT